TGCAAGCCGAGAAGTCTGCACAGTACGAGGCGACGTGTACGGTCCCTGCAGGAATACAGGAATAAGCAAAGGCCTTGTTTATTAAATGTTCCTCTCCAACAGCACATTCCTGTTGTTTTATTACACGGCAGCGGCATTAAACATGGATTGTTTTGCATAACGCCTGGGGAAGCTGCTCGGGCCGCTGTAGCAGTAACGAAAGTAGCTTATAGGTAGAAGCTGGCCTGGTTTTCATAGGAATGGAAAGGTACGGGCGATTTCTTTACTGTATTTTTATTTTGCTTGCTGGGAAATTAATGACTGAGGCATAACCCACTCCTGTAGTTATACATATTTAAAGGGCCGGTGTCCTGCTGTTGCCCGAGTCCATTTAAATGTTGTTTTTGCTGGAAGGTTCCTTAGTTTACCATTAAAGTGCTTAAGACCGCTTTTAATTTGTAATATTTTTAAATTAATAATACGTTTTAAACTGAAATCAAGTTTGTGAAGGAAAAAGAAATAAATGACATGATGAATGAAATGACAGGGGTAGAAAATGGATGGATGGATGGATGAATTCATAAAGTTTGACTCATTTACTACATGCTTTTTTTGAGACAGCACTGATTCTTTCCAAAAAAGTGTTGTCTGTAGATTTCACCCATTTCGGTAACCAACATCGCTCTGGTGGCATTCACAACCAGGAAGTAAAATTCTATGATAGAAATATGGCCAAGCTGGATAGAAATGTTCAAAATCTGTTGCAAATTCTTAACTATAAATCATGAAAGTAAAAATCTAAACCGTTAAATGCACTTCAATATTTCCCATCTAATTTGGATACAACCCTGGGACTTCAGGGTACGTTTGAGAGCCACGGTTTTTAAGCAGTAAAAAAAAATAAAAACCCATCAGTAATTGAAGATAGTACACTTTAAACTTGAGCCATTGTGCTGACGGGTTACAGACTTACTTTGATAGGGATTTAGGATAAAGATAAGGGATTTTGTTTTTTCCTTCGGGATGGGCCCTATTTCAATGACCTCATTAAAAAAGATGCACCGTGAACCACAATTAACCCTTTTGGCTCTCAGTTCATTTTTTGAGGCCACAATTGGATAAATGTTCACTTCTGATGATATCAACTGAGCACCAAATAAAATATCCTTTTATCCAGAAAACCAGTCAGGTCTCACATATCAACGTCTGATATTTTTTAAATCAACTTGCTTAATATTTGGCGAATGATAAAAATGTCTATGCACTTCTGTTTAATAAACCTATAGAATTAACCCTGGATTTTTTTTTATTTTTTTTTTAAACAGAAATGCAGTCATATTCAGTCAGAACAGATCAGAACAATTCAAACTCACACCGCCTTTAGGGATTCTCAGAACGCCACTCCCACTCGCCACAACGGACGATAAAATCAACAACAAAAAGGCTGGGAAGTGGCAGGAAAAGTATTGGTAGTGCATCATTGTCAAAAAGGGAGTCTGTTGTGCAATGTTTTGTGGAGTACAGCAGAAAACAATCAATGCAAACAGAGTATAAGGGGCCAAAGTGACTGAAGTGGGCCACGCAATGCCCTGAAGGGAGCAGCAAGTGACACATTTACAGAAACCTCCACTTTCCAAGACTGTACTTCTGTCTGCTGTGGCTGCGACTCAAAGGCTTTCATTTAACCATCGATACATGCAGCTGGTGCCCAACAGTCTTGGCAATCTATTGTAATGGCAATGTGTATATATACATTTTCGTTATTTATCATTACTGGTTGGGTTTCTTATCCCAAACCCCCCATTTGGAAATCTTAAGAGAGATTTCACTGGTTTAATAGGTTAATTTTCATAAGCACGATATTACAACATTTAAAGTAGTGGGTTAGGGTTATGTATGTAAGATTTTCATGTCAAGTCATCATTAAATGGCTCTAATCCGTCAAAAGGCATTAATAAAACATTCTTCTCGAATACTTCTTTAACTGATAACAGTAGTTCAGCAGAGATCTTTTGATTTCAAAATTAGTTTTACAGCCCCTAAATCTTATCATTTTGATGTCCCGCCTTCCACCGTTTTACCAATCAGAAAGAGTAATCCGGGTTGCCAGAATTTACCGCGTTGAGCTAATCTCACTGCTAAAGTACATGTGGCCGCAGGACTAAAAAAGGTCTTGTTATGATTCTCAAATCATTAATGACAAAACAAGGATTTCTATCAGGGCCTTTGTTAAAAAGGTGTTGGTTATAGATTTGTTGTTGACAAAACTTGTCAATTCAGATATTATAGTCCCTGCTGGATTTGTCTGCATATCTGGCAACCTGAGTCGGGGAGTGTGGGAGAGGTTGCAGTACCAATTTTGGCCAGAGTTTTGAATACTTTATCTTTCATCTGTTGCGAGGGCAGCAGTCTAAGCAGGGACGCTTGGATTCACTTTCTCCAGCTCATCCGGGGGAATCCTGAAGCGTTCCCAGGCCAGCTCAGAGATGTAGTTCCTCCAAAACCAACGGCAAATGACTGAAATTAGTTACAATTGAGTTTAACTGCATGTACTATGTATGTACTCATTTGACAAATTGATGTTTTTTTGCATTTAGTGCATGTATCCATAAAGGTGAGGGGAGAAAGAGAAAGACAAGATTTGGAAAATGGAGGGTAAATTAACCTGGACATTTTTTTGCCTCACTTTGTACAATTAGGGAGAAGAATACAACAGAATACTACACAATGAGTATCTTTCAAAGCATTTACAGCTTTCGAGATTTTTATTTGTAGTGTATTATGTGAAAAGACATAGTTTGCCTGCTCTGCCATCAATCCCAAATGAAAAGATTATAAAAAAGAACAGCTCTATACAAAAATACAAAGAAAAAGCATTTATTTTGCATCTTCTGCACAGCCCAAAGGTAAAAGCATAGTCACGATAGTTAAGGAAATGGAAGGACAAATTACAAAATAAGGTTTTAGGCAGTGGTAGAGACATATTTACTTTTACATTTCCACAAATGACAGTTAATAGATGGCACCCTCGACACGGCAGCACTCACAGAAAAAAGGTAGACTTCTTAAACTGTCTTTCCCTGTGCTTTGTGGGTTGGCACGTACATACAGCTCTTCAGCATTTTCGACTTTTAAAGCGGCGAGTTTCGAAGGCATTGGCAATGGATGTAGTGCGTGAATGTGTGGATTTTGTGCCATCAAATTGTAGAGGAGACGACGGCTTCTTGGATTGTCAGCACCAGGCCTCGCGTATAAAAGGAGAGGAGCCGTGACAAGAGCAAAACAAACATGGCGGCTGCAGGAAAGAATAAGTGGAAAAGAATGGATGCACAGTTCCATTAAAATATGACTAACTTTTAACATTTTATTTCAATTAGGGCAGCACAAAATACATTTCAGTTTTAAATCTGTTTGCAGCGAGATCAAATAAATTATATCTGGATAAATATAAGGGAAATAGTTGTCATTTTTCGGTGATAAAACACTTTTTGCAGTGGGCTAAAAAACCTTTGTGGCTGATCTTTGCAAAAATGCGTTTTGACTCACGGCCGATATATAAAAAAAAAATAATTTGAAAAATATTCTGGAAAATTCTGCTGTAATTGTTATGCACCGGTCCATAATGTTGCTTTATCAAAATCAGTTGTAGAAATGTATAATCTTTCATAATATCCACGTAACAAGCTTTGAATATCTATTTTTTTGACTTGAAGAGTATTGTCAGGAGTGAGAAAGAAAAAAACTTGCATAACCTAGCCACAAGGGGTCAGCAGCCAGAGCGCAAATGTTATCTTGTTTGGGGTCAAAATTCTGTACAACACACAGCGACTGATGCACAAAAAGAGAAATTCTGGTACAAATTTTCAATCACGTAATGAAGAATTCAAAACGACCATTCGATTTAGTTGAGCATGCTATACAAAATAAATGCAAGGTGCTGCCCTATTCAAAACACAAACACAAAATTACCCAAAACAAAAAGGCAAAGGCGAACAGGAGATTTTATTGTAATAACAAGCACCTGTGGTCGGACGGTACCAACAATGACATTGCATATCGCCCAAAACAACCCAGTCTGACCACGCTCCTATGGCAGTGCGTCTTAGCTGAAGGATCGCCGTTTGTCCGCGGAATGTTCCAGTTTTTAAACGGCCGCGATGGGGTTCGAACAAGGCAAAACAGCGACCGTTTATCCACACACACACACACACACACACACACAACGACACGGACGCACAATCAAATCCACGTACACTGTAAACGCGGTTTGAATCCAATTGAAGAAGGCGGGACAGTCTTGAAGCGGCCGCGGTTGGACAAGACAAGTTTATGTAAGTTTTCCCTCAAAAAGATTCCATCGTTCCACAGACGTTTGGCAAAAAACTGCACATACCTGGCAACCCGAAGACATGCTCAAAAGCACTATGACTTAAAGGTTTCGTGTGTGCGTGAGAGTTTGTTGGAATATGGATAGATTTGAATGGAATTAGACAACGACTCATTAAAGCGAAGGCAGATCACTGGATAAAGTAAATGCTAGTTCACATTGTTCACTTGTTGCATATGGCACAGCGAGACACACAAAAAAAAAAACAAAATTCAGTTTTGTTGACCACCAATTCGAGAGAATGGTAGGGAATGATGTGGTTCAAATACTGCTTATGTTGCTTGATTTACACAAAACAGGCAGCACAAAAGCCTCACACTCTCTCCTTCTGGCAGACAATTGAAACACCTTCCTGCGCAAAAAGATGCAGACAGAAAAATATGTGCTTTTTTTTTTTTTACAAACACCCGTGTACAAAGAGCTAGGGCTTTAGTGTCTAGCAGTTTGACCGCCCGCTTTACAATCCAGGTCAGAATGGTTATCGGTCAAGGAGCAGCGGTAATTTGATTCAAAAAAATGGAAGAAAAGGCTGGACAGCACTCTATAAACACTAGACTATGAACCTGGTTTAGGTGAAATGAGCGAGAATGTCCCGTGTTGTTGGTCTGTTAAAGTCCATTTGTATAAAAACAGCTTAAAGTAAACAGCATCGTTCCTTGAAGCTCTTCTTGTTCTTTTTGTTCTTTCCTTTGCCGTTTTTGTCTTTGTTTTCAGACATTTTCTTTCCCCGAACTTCACGCATCAGGTCAAAGAACACCTAGAGATGAAAAGAGGGAGAAAATAAAGGTAGAGGAGGATTCAGTGGTGCGTGAAGTCTTTTGGACCGTAACGCAGTGTGCGTGTTTATTAATGCAACAACATCAATCTCCTGCATTCCAAATGTCACTAAGGGACGAGGGGATATGGAAATGTGTGGAAGATTAGGATGAGACGAGCTTGCAGATTCTGACATAAAAGCAGCTACTTAAATAACAGACTTCAAACGCATTAAGATTGGCTGCTGCGGCGAGATAACACTTGTATGAAGCTGAAGCGCAAATTATACTAACACTGTATTTCCTGCCTCAGCCAATCACGGCTCACTTCAGTCGTCACCTCATGGCTCCTACAGTCTCACTCAGATGCTGTGTGTACATGTTGATGTTAAGGCTTTGTTAAATAATAATCTATTAGCTCCTTGTTTTCTTTTGTGAGACCTTTCAAGTTTATATAAGCCTCATTATAAACCAATACTTCCATATCAATGAGTAATACATGATTTTACCAGGAGTATCCTATCCCCCTGCCTGGTGCCTCCATTCTGTGCATTAATATACTGTACACACATTTCCCTTCCATTTTTGATCAAAATACATTGCGTTTGTAAAAAATATTGTTTTAAATTATTATTATTCCAGTCTGAATAGTGCTCCAGTTTTAAAGTTCACTAAATGTAAAGGGGAGAAGTCTTAAAGTCTTGAAATGTATGAAATGTAAAAAGCGACGGGTACAGCGTGTTCCTCCGTGTGTGCACTGGAGGACTGTATGAGGCTCCAGTGAGAACTTTAATAATTATTGTTAAATATTATAAACATAATTTAATAAGAGACGAGAATACAAAAAGAGCGGAGAGACACACGTGTAAATTAGTTTAAGTTTAAGCCACAATGACCAGAGGAGCCAGGTCAGTGACAGTGTCCAGGACAGAGCACAGAGTCGTGGGAGAGCTGAGGCCGACAGCTCATGGAAGTAACAGTTTATCAACAAGTAACCAGAGCGCACGACTGATCTGCCAGCAGCAAACCTGCAGCAAACCAATACAAAATGAAGACACTGTGAGAAAAGAACATTCAAACTCTCGGGCCAGTGATAAACGGTGTTTTGGAAGTTGTTCTGTGGAAGGCTCTGTACGTTTTGCATTTTATATTTTACGTCCCGTCGGGATGAGTTGAAACTTGTGGATATTCAGAAGATCCTGAATGTCTGTGTTGCACATAAGGCCAGGTTTTCAATAAATGTCAGTGTAAATAAAATTACACGTGCACATCGGGCCATTAAATACAAACTATAGAAAGCTTTGGAAAGATTCTTGGATAACTTTGTTTGTTTATTCGGTCATGCAAATTATTATTTTTTGACATAAAAAGGCATAAAAAAAAAGAAAAAAAAAAGGACAAGGTTACAAAAACAATGTATCTTATGTCAGTAGTGTACAAGCTTTAACAGATTTACAAACGCAGTTGTGACCGAAGGGATTAGGCTGAAGTATAACAATTGTATTGAAGTAAATTTACATATTTTAACATCAGTGCAAACTACAAGCTCCCGCCAATGCTGATAAATTACATCAGACATTTTGTATCATTTTAAAACATGTAAAAGTATCCGAAATCTAAAAGGTTAGGGTGAAGTGGCATTGTCAGTCCGTGAAAATATAGTTTTTGGCGCTAAAAAGGTTGGGAACTGCTGACATACGCATCTTTTTTTTATCCATCCTGATTTTGACAAACTACAAAAATATGCCTCAGTAAATTGTGGGGTGTAGGGTCAGAGCGTTTGGGCCTGTGTCTTATCCGAGTGTGTTGTACGAGTGAGGGGTTGGAACAAAATCAGTGTCCGCTTTGTCCAAAACCTTATCATTCACTGTATTGCTGGTGGTCTATTGTGGTTATGAAAGAATAACTATAACAGAGCACAGAGCTGGTGAAAAGGGGGCCTACCTTGTCGACATTGGCTCTGGTTTTGGCAGACGTCTCCACATACTGCACTCCCCACTCCTCAGACTTCCCGCGGGCCTCGTCCACAGACACCTGCCTCCGGTCCTCCAGGTCCGACTTGTTCCCCACCACCAGCAGCGGGATCTTGTCCTCTTCCGCCTTCACGCGCAGTATCTGCTCCCTGGCCCGTCCAAACACAACATGCATTATGGATTTTGTGCCCTTCCAACTTCTTGCCCTTTCCCCTACACGTTTTAAGAAGGTTTTACCCGAAAGTTCACTGAATAAAATCGGACTGGTGTTTACAAAGCACTGCTCCTTCTGTTTTTTTATTTATAAGTTATTGTTCCTGGGCAGCCTGCTTGTACAAACCAATCAGTCGTATTCAAAAGAAGCAGTCCGTCATCCTAATTAAAACTCATTAAGCATTTTCCAGTCCCACTCGCACTGCTAACCAACAATGTGACAGTGACTTGTACTGTCCAACTTTAACACTAGCTGTTTATTTATTGAGTCTATTCCAATGACTGCGGAGAGGCTGAGAGCAGTGTTTGCGAGTGGCCAATGACAAGCCTTACGGCCCCCGATAAGCAAAAATAAACATTGCTTTAACGACACTATTCACGTTCATTAACACTGGCTCAGCTTGGCCTCCAAATGTGTCAAAAAAATCCATTTAAATTCAGAATTAAGATTATAGTAAATCTATGGTATGGTCAATCTCAACTTTATTACAGTCTTTTTCCGAACATTATGTTTGATTAAGTGACGGAGGACATTAAACTAGTTTGCTAATTATTCTGCAAGAAAAAAGAAAAAAAATCTGTGTGAAAGAGGTAGAGAAGAAACCAAAAATCTACAAAAATCCAGGACACCTCCTATACAGCGACCTGGCTTCTTCTCTATATCCTATAAATGTCCAATATCAATAAATGTGGACGTTGGTCTTCCCGCTCCCTATGGACCTATGGCTTTTATTTTTGTAATTTTTCTGTGTTTCATTCTCTAATCTGTTGTTGGTGAATTGAAAACTTCTCGTGGGGCGATGACTGTTGTTGTGATTTTGTTTCAGGGCTCAGTATATATTTTGAAAGAATCATTTGATAGACATCTGAACAAAAGGTTTTCCCAAAAAGCAACTAGATCATTAACTCATGGGCAAAAAGGTTATTGTGCTAAAAACAATGGAATTATTCTTTGTTAATTCAGCAAGTAAATGGTCAAATACTTTTACGACCACCCCTCAATGTGGTGTGTTTCTGCAGTGGTTGGTGCACCTGAACTCGGCGGTGGCGGTGAAGGACTCGTGCTCGGTGATGGAGAAGACCAGCAGGAATCCCTCTCCGCTGCGGAAGTAGTTGTCCCGGATGGCGGCGTAGTCCTCCTGTCCGGCCGTGTCCAGGATGTCGATCTGCACCTCCTCCCCGTCCAGCACCACCTTCTTCCTGTAGCTGTCGGCCTTCGTGGGCTCGTAGTCCTCCACAAACTGGGACACACACAGAATCATTTATTAAAAAGGCGACACAACAGGTTGGTAGAATCCTTTTTTTTTTTTTACAGAAAATAATAGGCCACGGTATTGAAAATAGCCTTTATAATGATCGCTCTTAAATATAGGTGATTATTTAAGTATTTGAATGCTTCTCTTGCTATTGTGAAGCCCTTTCAGTTACCCCGTGTTTTAATCGTTTTTGAGCCGTGGCACACCTTTGTCATTGCAAGAAATGTTGTGGCACACCACTAACTGAATTTTATACAAAATTTATAGTCTACATGCTTTATTAACGAAGCAAAGTCATTATTGTCAATGTGTTTAATAGAGCAAATAAAAGAAGCACAAAAGAGTGCCTGATCACGTCATATTATTTTCATTTAACATGATTTTGATTAATATTGGATGATTTCGAAGGCACACCAACGTGCCACAGCACATGGTTGAAAAACACTGCTATACAAATAAACTCGTTAGTAAGTAATCTTCATTTCTATAGCGCCTTTCACAGACTACAGCCACAAAGCGCTTTAAGATTGTTGTGGGCATTTGTCTCTCACTCCACACAGAGATGGGAGCAGGGTCGCTGTACAGATGGATAGATAGATACTTTGTTGATCCCCACAGGAGAAATTCAGGTGTCCATTAGCCGCAAAAATAGAAAAATAAAATTGATGATTCTCAAAAGCTAACAATAGTAATTATCAGCAACCGCTCTTCAGGTCACAGCAGCAGAGATGAAGAAGTCTCTGGGTGGAGCAGGACGTGCATGCTCCACCCGGACATACAGGAGGCGCATGCCGGACCTATTGTACATGTTTCTAGTGGTAGGGGAAACCGGAGCCCCCTGAGGAAACCTAAAAAGACTTGGGGAGAACATGCAAACTCCACACAGAGAGGCTTGGGAGTGGAATTGGACCCAGAACCCAGGACAAGCGCTAACTACTGTGCCATCGTGCCCTTTGCCTTTGTATGGATTCTTAACACGGGAACTTGGAAACCAATGTCAGATCCACAACACAGTTTTCCAAAAATGAAACATCTGAACTTTTACTTTTTTCAGGAAGAGCCATGCGAGTCACTACAGGGCGATTTGGGGTGAGAGCTGATTGGCTGTTCAAAGGCTAAGTCATGTTTTGTGCAGCAGCAGTAACAAGGGTTTTCAAACAAGGCTCAAGTACAAATAATGTCCCACTGAATTAAAACAAGACTTTAATGGCAACGATGACCTTTGTAAGATCTGGTGTTGAGCGTCTCGTTTTTTGTTTGGTCAGATGGAATTTGCCCAAAGCAATTTAGGATTTTTATAACAAAGAAAGGTTTAGAAGACGACTGGCAGTAACCCTACATTTCCAAACCAATTATATGAAGGACAATTAGGATATGAAATTACAGTTTTAAATTGAGTCAAACGTTTTCCTTGTAGTTTTTATATGTGTTTTATACTATATACTTTTTTGCATGGTAACTTAAAAATAGTTTAACTGCAAAGACTACAAACACATATTTTTCGTTTGTGTATAATATGGAAAAATAAAAATAAAACGCGTCATGAGTCTAGTTTAAAAAAAATAATAATGAAATGCTATCTGACCATTTTCCTGAGAATAGGCACATGTAGGAAGCCTGTATCTAAGGGGACTCAAACTAATACTGATCTGGGGCCAAAAAAATAAAACGTTATTTCAACAGATTTAAAAACAAATTATTTTATATGTTGGAGTTGTTTGATCAAATGACTATTTATATTGAACACAAGTCTAACACTTTTCAGGTAGATTTTCGGTTTTGGATTGAACCAAAACCAGGCCATAGGTAAAGACGGCATGTCATCGTCCAAAGACATTTATTTATATATCTAACCATTGCTAATGACGAGTTGGGTTCCAATGTTGGATTACATTCAAAATTTCATAACACAAAATACAATCTTACCGATAATTCTGAAAGATAAAACCGGTGCCGTGTCTCAACCAGTTCACCGTTATTCGATGTCAACATTGACAGTAGTTATGTGGCTGATTCAGCCTGAATCTAGAATGGTTTGAAACTGGATTTGGATCTCACCTCGTCGTACATGAACTGCAGTGTGAGCGCCGACTTTCCGACTCCTCCGCTGCCGACCATGATCACCTTGTGCAGCGCCAACGAGCTCTGGTTTTTATTCTTCCCAGTCGCCATCTTGGTTTCTTCTCTACCTCTTTCACACGATCGCACGCATAAAACTCCCCTCGTCCAGTCACCTACACGACCTGGAAAAGACAACAACAAAGCACAAACTTCAAAAACAGGTGAAGAGTACGATTGTCTGCAGCTGCAACAAAGGATAAAGCATGGGCAAGATGTATCGTGATGAACATGGAAAACAATGTGAGGAAGAGACCAGGCCTGATATTTTGCACGAAGGGCAAGTGGCTGACAAATGGCACTCGCTTGCCCAATGTCAAAAGTTACTTGCCCTAATATTTCTCAATAAAGTTAATTAACAAGAGTTTGGTAATAAAGTTGCACTAAATGTGTGAAAAATAAATTTAAAAAAACATCTGCTCTCAGCCCAAAAATTCACATAATGGCTCACGGGACTCTTAAGTATAGAAAATAAAAAATAATGGCCTGTTGTGGTGTGTCATTTTACTTTTGGTTGCACTTCTGTAGAAGAGACATGGTGGAGACGTCCTGTCCGCGCGCCTATGGTCCACGTTCGGTACCACTTTATGGATGTGCGTTCGCTGAGCTGTTGAAAAAAGCGGCCGCTGCTGCCCTGGGTCAGAGCGGAGGATGTTAATCCCGTTTGAGTACGTACAGCAAACAAAGGGGCCGCACATTTCACACATTTCGTAGAAATTGCATTTTTCAGCGGGAACAAGTTGAAAATCGCGGATCGCAAACATTTTCATCCCAGGTTTATCCCTGATGCATTTCATTGGTCCAGAGAATTGACCAATGAAGAGAATGTCAAAAAAGATAAACAGACGTGTCTGCTCCTGGCTCTAGAGGTAGAACTGTGGGAATGCGTTCCCGGCCTGAATGGGTTGAAGTAATAAATCACATGCCCGATCAGGCAACTTGCTAAGACAGCGCAAATGTCTGTCCCATATCTTTATTTCCCCCGGGCAAGGGGACAATCATTAATGTCGGGCCTTGAAGACCAGAATAGGACGATAGAGGGCGCAAGAGGAAAATGTGATACAGATTAGGTCATATTAGTTGACCTAATCTGATATTTTTACAGAGTAGATAAACTTAAGAAAAATCAATCAGAGATCCAACAAACACAAGTACTGGATCAAAGAAGAAAAGGAAATCAGGGAACTCTGCACAGACCCTCTTAAAATCGAGACAAGGGCAGATTCCAATTCCCCCAAACGTGGGACGCACTTCTCCAGTGACCACCAGCCAGTGGAGGGCACAGTCCATGAACCGCACAGGTTGGCTCGGCTGATAGCGTTTGGAAAGAGCAGGCGTGTGATGTGACGATTCTGAGAGAGACTTTAGTGTCCAGTTGAAACATTCCATGGTAATACCATCGCTACACTGCACTAAGTAATGAAAAATAAGTAAAAATGTGCTCAAAATTGACAAAATATATCTTAATTTGAGCACATTTTGACTGCCTTAAAACAAGATTTGGCAATGGGACAAAGAAAAATTTGGCAATGGGACAAAGAAAAATTATCAGTTTAAAAAAGATTAGGGCTGTCAAAATTATCGCGTCAACGCACATTAATTACATTCTTCATTAATCGTGTAAAAAAATAGGTACACATTTAACGCATGTTGGAATGACCCGCCCATGCGTCCCATATCACTCTGAATGCCGCGGACACATGCGTGTGTGAGATGGCAACAGAGCAGGTAGGCCCTCTGGGAATTCAAGTTTAAAAAAACCAAGGATAAAGTCAAATACATCAGAGGCCGAAAAACAAGAGCCAATGTTTCTTAAAATGATGCATATAACCTGTTGAACCAAGACCTAACACAGTGGACCGCATTTCATTTAATGATAATCCAATATTTTCGTATGGCTGTGTGGGCCGGTTCATCATTCCAGGGACAAAGATAATTCATTTGTGGGCCGGATCTGGCCCCCAGGCCTGGACTTTGACAACCATGGCATAAACAAGCCACTAGGATCAATCCGAGAATTAATGCTGAATAAACTGCCAAATCTGATCACAGTTCAGAAGTTCATTGGAATCTCGGCTAAAAACAAGCCCAGGTCTAAAATTGCAGGCCCCTGGTTCACACAAACACATCATGTAAAACTAATAGTACATAAACGGCTTACTCAAAGCTCCCATTGATGACATTTTGCGCAAATTCCCAAAAAGATAATAAAACAAACATTTGGACATAAGTGTCGTGGAACATTGGCAATCTCTCAAGACAGTTGTCATTTAAAAGCGTTTGTTAGACTCACAGCCAAAGCGCTGTCTCGGCTCTCCTCCAGCTAATCTCACATTCTTTCTGCCACTCTGGCCATCAAAGTGCCAAAGAGCCTACTCATGAATCCTCCAGCTTTATAAAGTTTGCCATCAAAAGGTCACGAGAGATGACAGGAAGAAATTTAGCCATTACAGAGACAGAGCGGGTTTATGAATGCAAGAGAAGACTGGGCAACCAAGAAGAGAGCAGATGTTACTGACCGTCTATTTGAACTACACGCCGGCCACACCCTCACTGTTAATTATATCTGGCTACTTTTTTTGCTTTTGTAAAGTTAAGACAGTGAGCAAATCAAATGCAATGGAAATGGTCAAAACGTACAGAAAAAATAAGTAAAAAATTGCTCAAATTTGGCAAAATGTATCTTAATTTGAGCACACTTTGACTGCCTTACAATAAGATTTGCCAATGGGACCAGCCATATTATCTTGCTTTCAAAAGTAAATGTCTCCCTTGGATTGAGGAAATAAAGCAACAGTTCTTGAAATAAGACTAAATGGCTTTTCCTATTGGCAAATCTTGTCTTATTGGTGAAATTAAGATAAAAATCACTTTATTCAAGCAGTTACCTCGTATTTTACATATAATTTTTTGCACACATTCTCAAGCTCTATCCATTGACAGAAACACATCTAACTTTTAAACGAGATCATTTTTGAAGGACAGACTTTCTGTGGGTACGAACACTTGGATATGAGGTCAACCATATCATAGAATGTTATAATTCATTCATTCATTCAGTCTTTTCACCTCCCATCTGCCTTTAAAAACATCTGTTGAAAGTCACCCAAAATTCCACTGTCCAATTTTGAACTATATGCTTTTAACTGTTCTTTACATATTTCCAAGTGAGCGAGCAGCCAACGTACAACATCTTGAAAGTTCTGATTTAAAGAGATAAATAACTACAACAATTAACTTTGTACTTGTGTAAGGCAACCTCTAGTGCTCAGAAATTACCTCACTGAGACAAAATCTCTGATAATAATGTATAGTCCTTGACTGCCATCAGCGACAAAGACAAACATGTGTAAGGATACATCTCACCAAGTTTGATCTGAAGTTGAAATCGCTCAGAAAGAGTCAAGGAACTACATTTCCTCAACAACTTAATACCTCGCTGTCACATAAGTCTCAGTAAACAAGCTCCTGCCACCGCTCTCTCTGCGGAGCTGGGATGTCATGCTAATGCGAGCGCTCGGCTGATTCATCGCTCAAGACGAACCACTCCTCCTTAAACAGTAAACATCTCAGAGCGGCCCTAAAGCGAGGAGACGACGAAACAAGACGGATGACACACGCGACGCGCCTACCCGTTTGTGTTGTGAATGTATATGATGTAAATTAAGTTATGCGTCCAACAGGAAGTCAAGAAAATTACATTACGTCTGGAGTGCGAGCGTTTCATAAAGTCATGCTGGAAGTGAGGTCCGTCTTGTTAATGGAAAATAATGCGATGGGGACAAACTTGCTTTGGAGATGGGTGAAGCGTAATGTAGGCCCGTGCTCTTTATCATTACATGTACACGATAAATAGTCCAGAGTTTTATAATAAGTCACGAGGCAAATTAAGGAAACTTTGAACACTTTGGAAACTACAAAAAGTATTTTAAACTTGAGTGTAGTTATAAAATGTCCAATGAGGTGAAATTCTCATAGACCATAATCATGTAAGCAATAAGAGTAGTCTCAGTCTGTCAAATGTCCCTCAAAGAAAATCAACAGTGCATCTTGTATAATAGTTATAGAAGTTTTTGTTGTTTGAATGCATACACATTTTAATGGATTTTATGTAATTTTATTGTAAAGCACTTTGGTTGCCTTGAGTGTTATAAAGGGCTCTATGAATAGTTGATTGATAGAAAGTCTGTATGGATTCAGCCACCTCCAAAACAACAGCCATGACCATTCCCAGGAGAGGTTTAGTTGGAGATCCCTCCTTCCATGAATGAAAGGTAATTATGCAGTACTGCCAATACGAGCTCAGTTGGATTGTTTTGGTATGGAAGTTTGGTGGTTCCTATATAATTCATGGAAAGTGAGCAGGCGACGTAGGTCATCCAGAAAGTTCCAATTTTAAAAGAGATAAGAAGTTAGTTATAGTTGCTTAACACTCCACCATTCACAAAAAACTTGACAGACCAAAGATGCGTAAATGATTGCTATGATATGTATTTTTCAGTCACATAAACAATTGTAAAATCAAACAGCAAAGCAAATCAAAAAAATAAAAATAAAATACATATTCAATTATCACACACAGACCTACACAACTGTGCTGGGGACACAGAAAGCGGCACAACTCTCTTCCCCCAAACCAGGAAGTCCATCTGAGCTCTTCCTGCTTTTGTTTGGAGTCACCAGAGCAGTGACGGGGCTCATAGGAAGGACAGACCGACAGACATACCCCGGTGACAAGCGGAGAGCCTTTGCGCACTCAGCACTTTAATAGAAGGAGTGTGTGTGCGCGGGAGGGTCACGGTTTCAATTATTTACACATAACCCAGTTTGCAGCCCACATTGAGGTCTTATAAATAAGGCAATTACAGAAAATATGCTACAGGCACATGCAGAGTGTGAAAAGGGGAAAAAATGCTTAGTGCTGGTTTATTCACAGCAAATGTATCTTTTTCTTTTCTTTTTCGTGCATTCTGTGCTATATTAGCAAACTCCATAAATGTCTCTGGGGACTTGTGCCTTGTAAAATATTTGGCTAAAAAACAAAATATAGCCAT